ACGGATATTGCGTTACGGCCCCGACAGATCCGTTGCCGCGCTTACGAAAAAAAGAGGATGGAGAAAAACCAGTGGCATGAACCTATTATGTACGATACCCTAATGTTCTTTATCATCCACTTATGTAGGGCTTCTCCAGCCTGGGTAATTGCGCGTGCAGGCCTGTGCGAGTGATAAGGATTCAGTATAAACATCACCATATTAACAAAAACCACGTTTGTGCAAAAAGGGACCAGGGGTAATAGGAGTTCTATGTGTGGGGCATATCAGGGGAAGGGAAACATGAAATCCTCAAATTGCGTAAGCGCGCCTACAGCTGCGAATTTTCGGCTTTTTATGTCGAAAAGCAACCGCATCTCGCCAAAAAACCAAAATTAAACTAACTGAACTTAGATAGCCAAAGTAAATTCGTCTAAACCCAATCTTAAATAAAACTAATAAAACTGAATAATAAACTAAAATTAGATGAAAACTAATAAAGCCTATAGTAAACGCAGAGGGCTCAAAATTTCCGTGTGGGGAGTGCAGTGGATTAATAAATGTTGAATACGTACACAAGTAACCAGGCCTGCTGCAGCGAAATAAGTATGTAGTAATGTATCGTACACTACGGCATGGTGACGTTTGTATTAAGTTCTTATCTGAGGAAACATTAGACCACGACTGCGAACATACCTCTGCTTTATCCTCTGTCCTCGTTTTCTCCAATACGGAAACTGCTTTTCACCTTGGTTACTGTTTTCCTACTTCTCCCCTAGTTTCTCGTACCCAGCAGCCCCTCTCAATTCCAAATTTTCTGGTCCTGCTACACAACCCCGGCCTGTGCTTGAATTTCTGGATGGTAGTGGTGTCCCCGCCGCTTGCACGGCCGAGCCCTGCATGCTGGACGCTGACCTTTTTGGCGCCGCCTTTGACGCCATCAGAAGCGAAGCCAAGGGTTTGTCCACTTCGTAAACTGTCAATAAAATTATTTTTTGTCCGCTAATCGTCGCATGCATGGGAGGCAATTCCAGCTCGATGTCGATTCATTTGTTTCAGGACGTTGAGTGTAGCCCAACAGCACAGAGTACAAAACTCATTTTAT